TTATATATCGAGTCAATTTTCAGGCATATCACGAGTCAATATACTGGTATATGTCGAGTCAATATCTAAGTATATATTGAGTCAATATTGCGCTATATATCGAGTCAATATTCAAGTATATATAGAGTCAATATTCAAGTCAATATTCAGTGATATATCGAGTCAATATTCAGGTATATAGAGAGTCAATATTCAAGTACTATATCGAGTCAATATTCAAGTACTGTATCGAGTCAATATTCAAGTATTATATCGAGTCAATATTCAAGTATATATTGAGTCAATATTCAAGTATTATATCGAGTCAATATTCAAGTATTATATCGAGTCAATATTCAAGTACTATATCGAGTCAATATTCAAGTATTATATCGAGTCAATATTCAGGTATATATCGAGTCAATATTCAGCTATATATCGAGTCAATATTCAAATATTATATCGAGTCAATATTCAAGTATATATTGAGTCAATATTCAGTTATATATCGAGTCAATATTCAGGTATAAATTGAACCATATCGTGATTCTCTTCCAATCTTATTTTTTAATAACAATGTGAACACCTCCCTGTAGGATTGGTCTCGAAATATTCTAAACATCTTGAAATGTGAGAATATATTTTTGGTTTCACTAAAATTACAATTTAAATGGCCAGTGGTCGCTACTACTCTCTTTGCTTTCCGAAGAGAATTAAGAAGCTAACTGATTAACAAACTTGTTTTACACTTCTCTCAAAAATATCAACGTTCTCATTGAAATCCCGTATACTATACCATCGAGAATCCTTTCGGAAACGTGAACGCATCAACGGAGTGTCGAGCTCTGTCGAATCCGCGGCTGCCACTTCGCCGGACAGTTGAAATTCTCTTTAGACAGCCCGGACGGAAACCGTTCGTTTTTTTCCCGTGCGATCGGCGACGTGCAGTTTCCCAGTTGACGTCTGACTGGCGGAATCCGCGCGGTCGCGGGGGTGGGTAGGCAGCGTTTCTGTCGGGAAGTTGAACCCGCCGTGATTTCCGCAATTTCATCGTTTCCCGGCCACGGTATTTCGCCCGCTAGCCCAACGGGATATGAAAGAGTTCATATAAGATGATCCCCGGCTGTCGTTGTCTCCCGGCTTGGGAATCAACACGTGGACCGCTGATGGATACCTCGGCGCTCCCCCCTTCCCCATAGGCGGAGGAAGATCTCGCGAAGAGTTTCGGGGATTTCGGTGCAAGGAGCTTTCCTCTGACCACCATTTACTGAGTTGTCCGACGAATCGATTACATTACTGCTACGATCGTGCCATTAGATCCTGTTAATTTATTGGTATCCTGTTAATTTATGTATTCCTGTTAATCTATTGGTTATGGTTGTTCTTGTTCTTGGTATTATTAGACTGCGGATTTTATGCATTCGCGACAAAAATGAATAGGTCGAATATAAAATTTTAAGGTCATCGGAAGAATTTCAGGATACTGTTACATTATTTTCAACTTTCTGCAACTGTTTAAAGAGAAGAGACATTTTTATTTAACTTGTGCTTTTTACAATTTAACTTAAGTTTTATTTTATATAACGATCCGCGGTCCACAGTTATTACACACTTCGTACTCGTGTACACGCTATTATTACACTTTGTGTACCGAAACACCCTCCTTGTGACACGAAAAACTCAATTACAGTAAATACTCCCTAACTGACGCTCAGATTGTGCACGAAAATGGACAATTTGGGAAGTGGAGGTACGATTATTCGAGCATTGCAGCTCGTTTTTTTATAGTTGTTGATAATTACAGGGAGAAAATTAGGGAGGAAATTAGGGATATGGCCTCTGATCTGCCTTTAAATCGTGTCACGAGCTCTGCGAATTGTCTTTAAATAGTGTTATGCGCCCTCCAAATTGCCTCCGAATCGTGGCATGTAGCCTCCGAATTGCCTTCGAATCGTGGCAAAAAAATCAGAAATAAGAAAGTTAAGTCAATTAAGGCCTGAACTCAGGAATTAAGTCAATTAACGCCCGACTCAGAATTCTCAGATCTGCCGATTTCAATTCCGACATCCGAACATTCCTGGCAGAGATTACTGTACTCATCGTTTCCCACATCGAGAAAAATGTGACGTCACGATCGAACCATTCCCGCGTTACAATTTCAGGCAATCGCAACCACAAAATTCATTCGACGTTCTTCACGGAAAAGTACAAAATCGTGGCCGCCGAACATGTCCGACGCAGGCAGCGATCGCGTTAAGCCCCGTGACCTTAGTTGCTGGCAACTAAGTATAATAGTCGCACGGGGTCTCTGGACGCGTTTCGAGCGAACTCCACTTACGTTTAACGCGTTCTTCGGCGCGTCAGGAGCCGGCAGATGTAACTCAGAACGGCGGGTATCGATTGCGGGGGCCGGTGCGTCTTCGAGTGCGGGGTCACGTGTCGCTCATAAAGAACCAATTCTCACCTAAACACGCGATATAAATTCAGGATCGGCGGCCCATTCCCGCGGCTGCCTCGTGATTCCGAAACTGGCCGGGATTCGACGTTTCCGTTGGTCAACGACGCGACGTCTCCTCCTTCCAGGATCGGTGCGGGTCGCGCGCGGGCGGCCGCGGGGGCTGGCGGAGACCGAAATTCAACGAAATAAAGTATCGTTACCGGGCCGCGGTTATGCAAGGAAGAGAGCGTCGACGGTGGTACGGTTCGGCCGCGATGCGAATAACAAACTCGATATTTCCCGCGAGCGGCTACGTGACCGAAGAGAGAAACGGAGACGGGGCGAACGGGCGAGGCGCCTGTTCGCGTTCGGCTTCGCCTCGTTACGAACGGCTGCGTCCCAGTTCGATGATGGATCGACGGGGAATCCTCCCGAGTCTTTTATTTCCCCGTAAGAGCGCCGTGCTCGCGAGAAACCCGATTTTACCGGCGGACCGATACGGCGCCGGTTTTCATCGCGTATCTATCGCAATCTGGGGGCGATCGAGATCTTTTCGATTCACGCGCGACCGTCTCGAGGTCCTCCGTCATCCTCTAGTCTCTGACGTCGACGATTTTTACGTTGGAAATCGTTCCGATGCGGTTAATTCTCGCAAATTGTCCCGCTACTTCGAGACGATAATGGACGACTTGCGAAGAGAAGATGCGATTAATCGAGTCTCGCGGCGTGTTTTTATTGTTCTCGATAATCGACATCTATAAAAACGAGACGCCGGGCTTGATTAATCGTATGTTCCAAGTTGTCCAAGTTGAGGGAATTTGCTGTAATGTGTTGAATAAACGGAGTTCAGATAAGAGGAGTTTCATCTGCGTGGAAATCGCAACGCTTTCAACCAATTACAGTAAATTCTCTCGAATTTGGACACGAAAATGGACAATTTGGGGAGAGGAGATACGATTATTCGAGTCTCGTTGCTTGTTTTCATAGTTGTTGATAATCGGCGATTCTAAAAGCTTCGGAAAGCAACAATAAATTCTGCCTAATTCGCGCTCAGATTGCGCAGAAAAATGGACAATTTGGGAAGAGGAGATGCGATTATTCGAATCTCGCGCCTCGTTTTTATAATTGCCGATTGTCAACGATTATAAAAACGAGATGCAAGGCTCGAATAATCTTATCTCCTCTTACCAAATTGTCCATTTTTACTGTGTAGCAATTTCTCTCCAATTGTCCCTCAGCTTGTAAACAAAAATGGACAATTTGGAAAAAGGAGATACGATTATTCGAATCTTGCTGCTCGTTTTTATAGTTGTTGGCAATCGTCAGCGAAGCGATGTTGCGAAGAACAAAGAAATTCGGTCGACTGATTTTCATGAAGCAGAAACTTTGATTGCCAACAATGTTGCTCAATCTGTTTCCACAAAAATACAGTAAATTCTCCCTAATTGACGCTCAGACAGGATTATTCTTGTTACTCTTGTTACTCTTAAAATAAAATTTTAAGGTCATCGGAAGAATTTCAGGATACTGTTACATTATTTTCAACTTCTGACAACCGTTTAAAGAGAAGAGACATTTTCAGTTCACTTGTGATTCTTACAATTAACCCATCAAAAGTACCAAAAAAAATTAAATTAAAAATTAACTGTATAATGATATTCATGCTAACCAATTGGAATTGTTTTTGCTACAATTGTTATTGTTTTTATTTAAATATGAAAATTAAAGACCGTCGCATTTTTGGGACATTGGCGGAATGTGCACTATATATCTGAAATAATATTTCTCGATGGATATGTAAAAAAAAGTCCAGAGAAGAAGTTTTAATCAAAAGTTTTTTATTTAAAAGTCTTGTGAACGCTCTGCGGAAATAAACAAGCTCGGTTGAGGTTCTTAGCTTCAACCCGAAGTTTACAATGATTAAAAAAACAAAATAGCAGAAATTCTTAATACTTTCATGGAAACCCTGATATGTTCTTACTAATTTATCGACTAACCGATATTTTATCGGTATTTCGTTTAGAAGTTGCAGTTCTTAAAACAAAAAAATGTGAAAATGTGTCCCAAAAATGGCGCTACATTGGCGGATAATGAATTAACATAATTTTTATTTTTCGTAACGATCCGCGATTCAGTTATTAAAATTCAAGATATATTCTAGATATCAAAAATTCAATCACGGCAAATGCTCCCTAATTGACGCTCATATTGTGCATGGAAATGGACAATTTGGAAAGACGAGATACGATTATTCGAGCATCGCAGCTCGTTTTTTATAGCTGTTAATAATTGGCAACTATAGAGAGAAAATTAAGGAGAATTTACTGTACACGATCGTTTCGTCACCGTGTCGGATTGCTTCGACGCTATTCTCCGACGTTGGAGGGACGAGAATATGCTCGCACGAAGAAAGAAATTATTTTCGGCGGTTTCTGATATCGATCTCTGAATCCAGGATTAGGAGACTGCAATCCGCACCGCTGCGCCGCGCCGTTTCCCCAATAATTAATCTACTCTGCTTGAGTCGCGCGATGTTGACGACTGCTGCGACCGTTGCTAATCGAGTTTCATTCTCTGCCCGCAGAACGATGACCTGGTCTTCGACCAGGACGGCAAGCAGTCCCTCGGCGAGACGCCTCTGATCGAGTCACGGCATCACGACTCCTTGCTCCACAGGATAAAGAGAGGATTCTTCTCGTTCTTCGCCCCCGCAACCACCACCACAGCCGCTACCACCACCAGCACCGAAGCTGCTTCAGGTAAGAGCGCCATCTAAGGACCACTGGAGATCCGGTCCTGGATCCTGGTCCAGGGCCCTCGATAAGCCCAGGTCGGCGACCTTGGAGATTTATTAATCCGCACATTCGACCGATTGCAGAAGCGAACGACCGCGGAGGAAAGGAGGACGCCGACGACGTCCCCGTCGAGGTCGTCGAGGAGAAGAAGCCGAAGGGAAACGTCGGGGCATCGGCGAACCTGGTCAGACAGACCCGGGAGAGCGCCGAGGAGAACGAGGAAGCTGAAGAGGTTGGAGGAGCGTAGGTGGCTCCAAGGGTCGGAAATAATTCTATCCTTTCTCGGCAGGGCAACGAGATCGGCAATGCTGCAGAGGCTCGGCGGGAGCCGGAGAAGTTTGGGAACACCGATGACGAAGACCTGGCTGGCTCAGGCGACATCGAAGGCAGCGCCATCAGCGGTATTGGACCGCATAACAAGTTCCCCGGGATAAACAATGCTCAGCGAAGTAAGTGGCCAGTTGAAGAGTATGTGTATCTGCTTAGTTTTACTTTTTGTGTCGAGATCTCGTTTGAAATATCACACCTTTTCCGTTGCTTCCTGTTTAGTGTATGCTATTTCTATTGTATATTTTTCCTCAATAAATAGTAGTTTTAATTAAATAGTAAATTGTCCCTAATGATACTTCCATCCTTCTCAGTCTTTCATTCGCTCGCTATCATTCGTTCTCTCTCATTCCTTTTTTCATATTATATTCACTTTGTTGTGTCTTTGCACATCAGAGAGGTGTCCTCTCAGTTTCCTTAATGAATCTTTTTACTGCACCGATCATTTTGTAGTTATTTTTTGACAGTACGCAAAGTTATTTTTTTCTGCCACTTCTATTTTCTCTTCTTTTCTTATTTTTCATCTTCGTACGTCGCAGGTTATACAACATGTCCCAAGATTATGCAATTTATGGGAATTGAGGGGTTCCTGAGGTCATTTGCAGTAACTTTTTCCTTTGCGCGAATGCAATCCGCAGCTCCGTTTACGAGTTATTAAAGAAAAACACTGACCAATGAGAGGCGCGCTCTATGCGGCGCTGGGTGGCGCTAGGCGGCCGAGCTAACGAGCGATCGGAGCCCAGTTCCGCTTATTGGCTCGGGCGTCTCGCGCCAGCTGATCTCGCCTCCCATTGGTCAGCGTTTTTCGTTAATAACTCGTAAACAACGCCGCGGATTGCATCTTCGCTAAGGAAAAAGTTACTTCAAATCACCTCAAGAATCCATTTTCCAGAAATAACATAATTTTGGGACACCCTGTATAAATCGCGTCCAAGCATTGGGCGCGCTGTCCACGCGTTATTTAACGCGATTTATGCTTTTCTCTTCCTGCTTACATACACATAGTGGATCATCTACAATGTCTTCCCTATATAAAAATTTATTTAAAAGATTGTTCTTCCAATTAGTAAAATATCGTTTCTCTGTCCAGTCCCGTTTTATCTTGAAGTCTTGTGAACTCGATGTACGTTTTCTCCCGCCGATCCTCGAAGATCCTGTAACTCCGATCGATGGTTCCAGGGTACTACCGGATAACCTTGACAATCGGCGAGCCGTATCTGCGGGAGTACGCGGACAGAAATAGCCGGGAGTACAAGGAGCTGAGCGGGAACCTGACGCACGCGTTCGAGGAGCTGTTGAACCGAAACCTGCCCGTCGATAGCCACCACGCGAACGTCGTAAAGATATCGTAAGTCTCCGATAGTCGATGAGATCCCCGTCGACGGGCAGCCGGTCTGGCGCGTCGCGTCGCGGTCAGAAATAGAGGATCGTGTGACTCAGCGGGACAGGTGTCCGTGGAATGACCGGAGTTTCTGGCCCACAGACCGACCGCGACCGACAGCTTCGCGTCACTGGTGACTCTGGACATCGGGTCGACGTTCACCGAAGAGGCGGAGGTGCGCGACATCATCGAGGAACAGCTGCAGCTGCATTCCTTGGACAACATCCAACTGCATCCCGAAGACTTCTCCTTCAGAATATTCCAAGGTAACTTCCTGCAGGGTGATGATCGATTCCCCGTCGAGGGTGTCGAAACTTCCAGCGGAACGCGTTCCGCTAAGAATACGGAAGATCGATGGGTCCCGGCGAAAATCTGGCGAAACTCCGGCGTTGCGGATTCGGCCGGCCGGAACGCTCGGTCTCTGTGATAATTAGATGTTGCACGCGGAATGCTGTACAGCTTGCGTAGGCATAGTCGGCGATAGTGAATCGCTGCACTTCGAGTACACCTTATTGTTTCATTATTTTCTGTTCTTCCGTTTATGTTTCTGCCTGTCGATGCTTCAGTCAATGAGAAAATCCCCGAGGAGGAGTGCGACCCGTCCACAGAGCTCACGTGTAGAGACGGTGCATGCGTGCCATTAGCGTCCAGGTGCGACGGGATCGCCCAGTGCGAGGACGCCTCCGACGAGCTCGATTGTCGCGCGACCACGACCAGTAAGTACCCCGGACACTACATGAACACGACCTCTGTACAGTAAACCGTGCGATTAACACTTCTACAGCACACCATGAAACAATGGCCCGCCTGTAATTAATGTAAATAGATCGATTCCCCGACCGTTCGACGCTCCCTAGAAACCGGCCCCGACCCTCGACGCTCGTTATCATCCGCTCACAGTCTCCACGGGACTTTATCATTCTCTTTTTCTACCGCGATTCGCATTCTCACACGCCGCGTTAGCCCCGGTCGGTGACCAGCCGACTGGGTCGACACCTTTAATCAGCAAGCCCGAAAAACACAGATCCCTACACGGTGACCGAGGAAATCGACCAGGAGGAGACCACTCTGAAGGAGTCTAAGGAGGAGGAGGAGGAGGAGGAGGAGGAGGAGGAGGAGGAGGAGAAGAAGCTGGTTGAGGAGGAGGAGGAGGAGGCGGTTACGCCGAGATCGGCAACGAACAAGTGCCGTGCCGACGATACGGTACGCTGTGACGACGGAAGTCATGTCATTTGTTCCGTGCAGAAATGCGACGGGGTGCTGGACTGTGACGACGGTGGCGACGAAGTTGGTTGCAACCAGACAGGTATAGGCTCGCCCTGACCCGGCTCAGTGTCTCTCGTCTAGCTCTCGTAGATCGTCTGCTCTGTAAATATGTACATAGACCGCATGCCAGACCACGAACGTTCTTCCATTGTTCATGCTTCATGCTCTTCTGCGTTCGAAAACCGTGAAATCGTCGCGTCGGCTACAAACGATCGTTCGTTTTATAGGGTGCAGCGCCGGGGAGTTCGCCTGCGACGTCTCCAGGTGCATCCTCGAATCGGAACGGTGCAACTTCGTCGAGAACTGCATGGACGGAAGCGACGAACACGACTGCAACTATCCAGGTGAGTGCGATTACCTTTTCACTCGATTCCGTAGCAGTTTTTGCTAGCTTCGTACCTTCGACGAATGTTTTACCGTCGATTGGTGCGGTACGAAACTGCCACAGATAGCTGAATTACCGACTGTGCGAGTCGGTGTCCCGTCGGCAAGGACGGAAAGTCACTAGAAAATTAAAATAGTTACTAAAAAATTGCAGAACGTTACTAGAAAGTTGCGAGAGGTTATCGGAAACGGCGGGAAATTGATATATGTTACTCGATCGAGGCGTTGCGCTGGCATCGCTTTAAAGCATCGTCGATTAAAAACGAATATTGCACAATTGTTTGATGAACCAGGAAACTGTCACCGCCTTCGGTAGATAAATTAACAACATTCCAGACATGTCTACTAATTGTACGAATCTACATTGCATCGGTGAGAACAGTAAACTGTTGGCAAAAGTGGCACAAAGTCTCAAAAAGTTACAAAACATTACTAGAAAACTGAAAATATCCCTAGCCAATGGTGCTTCTCGCACGGTAAAACAGATCAAGTCACTAGAATCTTCCTCTGTCGATATGGTTGGTGCTTCCGTCGGTACAGTAGCACTGGCTCTGTCGATACAGTAGCATTGCCTTCGTCGGTACAATACTTGCAGCGACTTCCCCAGGTACATCTCATCGTTAATGAAGGAACTCTGCTTTGCCAACGCGCGATATCGATTCTCTTCAGCACGATAGAGATGCCCGGACATCGCCGTCACTCCCTAACTTCCGGTCCCCGACGTTCTAATTAAAAGTCGTTCAGTCGTTGTCTCGTCGTGGGGCTGCTCGAGCAGCCTCGAAGACGGGCGGGAACGTGCCGATTTTTCCGGCAGAAAGAGGGTCAGGTGGACGCCGACCAGGATGTGCCTGGTGAATATTCAAACCTCGAGGGCCGTCTCCCTTGTCCCTCCGTGTTTCGCAGCGACTTTTTCGCCGCTCTAGACACGTCGAGTGGAGGCGAGACGACGGAAGTTCGAACACCCCACACGTCTTCCAGCAGCCTGACTGATCGAAAAGACCGGCCGGTCCTCCTCCTAGCTGGACAGAATTTTTTCGAGCGTGCCCCGTCATCCCGCGACGATCGTTCCGAAAAAGTAACGCGACTCGCGGGAAAACCGTTCCGCCGTGGCGGGCGCGCGGTTTCGACGGTGGCCGACCACCCACGCCTGGCGTCGGGAATTCAGATTTCAGCCGGCGAGGTTTTTTCCCGATCCGATCTCCGGATGTTTCCCGGAGCCCGGCCGCCACCTACGTAGCGAATTAGGAATGTAGATTACGCGTGTTTCCACGCCGGGGCCCGGAGGATACGTCCGCGATAATGGTTCCGCGAACCGCATTCCACGACAATCGGCAATCACCGCCGGGCACTCGGTATTTTTTTCGCTCATTCCGGATAGGAGAGCCGAGAGCAGGTTCTCTCTTTAACCTACTTACCGCTGACGAGCTCATTGTTCTACTAATCGGCGCGGAACCAAAGGGGAAAAATACACGTGACAAGTGGCTTCTACTAGCCGCCACGAGCCGCGAGCCTGTCGGTGCCGGTATTCTTTGATTGCCAGCGTCGCATTCCGAGAGATCGATGACGCAAATAGGCTGACCTATTCACTGGGATCTGTGATGGCTCTGCTTTAATCATCGGCCACTTCGGGGCCACGAGTCACTCGGCTGGCCTGCCTCCGCGTTGCCTCAGAATCCAAATCCTGCCGCGGAAAACCAGACTTTCAACTATCTCGGCCTGCGACAGGACAATAAGAGGGGGGAGGCTGTCTTCCGTAGTCCGATCGTAAATCGTCGGCCCCTTCATCTCGGGGCTCGTCCAGACGGTTTTCCGCCTAGCGCCGGCAACAGGAGGGCAAAGAGGGTTCGGCAGGGGGTGACAGAGGGTGGGCAGAGGGTGGCAGGGACAGGCGAACGTCCCGTATAAATATCCGCAGACACGCAGCCCGGCTGGAAAGCGCGTTTACCTGCTTCCAGTAATCGCGATGTGCATGCTTAATCAATATTCAAGTATTCAGCCGCGAGCGAGGCACAGGGGGACGATCCACGGTGCCCCTCGACTCCCCCGGCCCCTCGCCGCCCCTCAGTCGCCGAGCTCTCATCACTAGCGATGGGTATTCAATTCCCTCCGCTGCGAGTTTTCAAGCAATGAGCGTCTGGAGACGCTCGAGGACCGCGTCTTCGGGCAAACGAGGATATTGTTGGGCAGGCCGAGAAGGGTGACCTGGTTCTCCGGGGGTTGTCCGAGATCTGGAGACTGCGGGAGCCTTCCGACCGTGGCTCTTTCATTTTTAAGGACCCGGAGTGTCTGTCTGTTTAGCTACCTTTATGCTCTAGAGACTCGTAGCCTCAGAAATCCTAACACTAAATCTATGAGGACCTAGAAGAAGGAGTGAAAGCAGACCTAGCACCTGCCAAAGTCTCCAACTATAGGATAGTCCTCTGACGTGTTTGTGCTAACTCAAAACCCCTAGCACTTTTCTGGATCAAGAGGATTAAAGAAGATCTAGGACCTAATAGAAGGAAAAGAGCAGTTCTTAGATCTAGAAAAGGGATTATGGCAAGTCTAGGACCTAGGAAAGGGACTAGAGCAAATCTAGGCCCAGGAATATGTCCTAGACTAGGTCTAATAGTCTCTGGAAGCTATCAAAGGCTAGCGTCCAAACACGTTCAGTGTTTAGGAGACGCCAATCGTTGGCGCTAACCCGAAACCTCTATCATTTTTCTAGATCAAGAGGATTAGAGAAGGCCTAGGACCTAGTAGAGGGAATAGAGCAGATTTAGGTTCTAGAAAAAGAATTATATCAAGTCTGGGACCTAGAAAAAGGATTAAAACAGACCTAGAGCCAAGAATATGTCCTAAAGCATGACTAGGAGTCTTTGGAAGCTATCGGGGGCTAGGGTCCAGACGCGTTCAGTGTTTAGGAGACGCCAATCGTTAGTGCTAACCCGAAACCTCTATCATTTTTCTAGATCAAGAGGATTAGAGCAGGCCTAGTAGAAGGAATCGACCAGATCTAGAACCTAGGAAGAGAATTAAATCAAGTCTGGGACCTAGAACAAGGATTAAAACAGACCTAGAGCCAAGAATATGTCCTAAAGCATGACTAGGAGTCTTTGGAAGCTATCGGGGGCTAGCGTCCAGACGCGTTTAGTGTTTAGGAGACGCCAATCGTTGGTGCTAACCCGAGACATCTATCATTTTTCTAGATCAAGAGGATTAGAGCAGGCCTAGTAGAAGGAATCGACCAGATCTAGAACCTAGGAAGAGAATTAAATCAAGTCTGGGACCTAGAACAAGGATTAAAACAGACCTAGAGCCAAGAATATGTCCTAAAGCATGACTAGGAGTCTTTGGAAGCTATCGGGAGTTAGCGTCCAGACACGTTCAGTGTTTAGGAGACGCTGCCAGCTGTAGAACCTTCACTGTCCCGCATTCCTAGAGCCGGCAGGTCAAGTCGGTGGCTTTGTCTGACGTTCCAGGTGCCTTGACTCCATCGCTACTCATTACGCCCCCACAAACCCCCGGTGCTTCTTCAGGTTGGGAATGCGCATAACCACTTTCGTGTCTCTCGGCTCGGTTCCGCGATATGCCAGCTCGGACGGGGACAATTATGAGTCCTGGCGGACCGAGGGGCTCCGAGAAGGGGCCAGGGGGTAAGTTACGTTAGGATAGTCGGCGGCGGCACGCTAGGCACCGCCACGACAAACGTCAGCCCACGATGTCCCGGAACATTATTCAGGTGCGTCCTCTCCACCTGTCTACTGGGTGTACTCGAGCAAAAACCATCCCCCGTCCTGTCTGCGCCGTTGCAAAAATTAGGCATTGTTAGGAATTAATCGCATCGCCTGAACAGTCCGCTGTGCAGTCCAATGAAAAATTACTTTCCGGAAATCGGTGACTCCGGAAAATGTCTTCCGGTGCTCTCGGGGTCGGCACTTGTCGACTACCCTCGTTATTTACATGATCGTAGAAAAATTAGGGATCGTCAGAGACTAATTGCGCGGCTCGAAGAATTCTAAGCTTGACAAATTAATTTATCGAGTCTGCCGGAGGAGCTGTCTGGTGGCGATTTAGAGGTGGGTAATTGCTGGCCACCCCTTGTGCAGACCCCGGTTAAACGTCCTCCGCAGTATGGTGGCCGCTTAACCGGGATAAATATCGGAACGACGCAGAGGGGCTAAAATTCAAGCACGTAAGCCCGCGGTTCACAGGTTGCCCTTAATTTCTCCGGTGGAAGGGACAGGCAGCGATTTTTCTTTCGCGGAATCATCGGTAATTTTTTATTCCGCTTGGCACGGTCCGCCGTTCGGTTCGTCGGTGTGTTTCCGCGGCTGTTTATACAAAAGCCGTGCACCCGACGATTTTTTCCCTCCCCGCAGCGAAAACACTGTCTATTGACAAAATAAGCGTATGCAAATCTGCCGCAAGTCGCGGACCAGCCCTAGAATCCACCCGTACCGAACACCATCATCCGTTACGCGGGTCTCTGTCGCGTGATTTTTCACCTAATTGCTGGCCAACTCGCCGCTAAGTGGATCTTACGAAACGATAAGTATTTTTTCTCGACCGCCTCCTACGATCGGGGAAGAACCACCCCTGGAGTGCGGGGTGCGGGATGTTATCTCGTGGAATATCTTGCAGGTTGAGGGAGCTCGGTGAAAAATTTCGCAAAATTGAGAATCAAATTTTAATCGATTTCTCGTATTTTCCTATTGTTTGCATAATTATTACCCTGCGATCTTTCTCTTGGTTCCGGCGGAATTATATCCCACTTTCGGGACGGATTTCACAAGAACAAATTAAGCCGCCAACTTGAACAATGTTACTGTTTCTGGTGGAGACTTAATGCTAGAAACTCAATGTTAGATTCAATGTTAAACTCAATGTTAGAAACTCAATGTTAGACTCAATGTTGTAGACTTAATGCTGTAGACTTAATGTTATAGACTCAATGTTATAGACTTAATGTTGTAGACTC